ACTACCCTTCGTTTCGCACCGTACTGTGTAGCGTCAGTAGGGCGGCGGGGTTGGGCTACGATTGATCGATTTAACATCAGATTTGGCTCTTAAAATTCGTCCGACAACCGAAATCGATACTTTCTATTCGGATACTTATTGACATTATTTCGTATACATTGTATTTATATTTTCACCTTTGGGAAATATTATATTTGCACTCACCAATGCCCTATAGTAGTGGTTTTTCGGGGAGTGGTAGCACCCCCTCTGGCCTATGTAAATGTGTAAGCACTTAATAACTTCAAAACTCATAATGATCATCAAAACATAAAACAATTATTATAAATATAAATTATTTTATAAATATGTATAGATAAGTGTATATAACACATAAAATTACTTTTCATTATACCTATCAACGGGAGAAAAGTGATATACGTATATGCATATAAAATTGTATACTCAAAATATTTTCACCCATCCCCCCCCCCTAATACTTGTCCCAAGAACCGCTCCTAGAACGACCCCAATGATTATACATATTTACTATAGTCACTACAATGTTTCGAGAATACATCATTTTCACGGTCAATATTTCGACGGATGTGCTCTAAATTCGAGTAGAAGGTATTTATATAAATATCCGAGAACAACTTTGCATTCAGGTGTAGGAGGTATGTCTTTGCCATGACAGTTCATTAATATTTGAAAGCTAGTTTTTTACGGCCACCGTCTGAACCATCATTACTAACAATAAGGGTGCACATTTCGCAACCCTTTCACTTTGACAATGTAATTAATTTCACCAATGAGACTGGCGAAGTTGTTTCAAATAACAGTTGTTGTTGAGAGTTAAAATCAACAACTATGCAGTGTGCAGTTTACTCACAAATAGTTTATAACTATCTCTATACTTACCTACCTCTTTATAATTTTAGTTTGAACTGTACAATATGAACTCGTCGAAACTTCGATCAATAATATTCAAGGGTATATTGCCGCAATGTTTCATTTAAGAATTAAAAAGTTTTTCGATATTATATGGAGTTGAAACTATGTACCAAGGAATTGACTACTTGTACTGTAGTTTTGGTAAGTACAATTTCAGAAATTCTTCGTTTTTTTGGAAAAATAAAAATAAGACGAGATCAAATCTAGTATAATTTAATGTAAAGGGTGATTCATGCTTCGTCGTTCCCTTTTTTCTACAATAATGCAGGTATCCAAATGTTAAGAACTTTTAAATATACTATTAATTATATAATTTTTCTTGTGCTGACACAAACTTCTGTTTTTCAAATGACAACTCCCTTTTTCTTAAAAATGCTTACGTATCAGAATCAACATTTGAACGAGTATTTTATGAGTTGTAACTTTTTGATAATGGGCTTAAAAGATTGGGGGACTATGGTGTTTAAAAATTTTAGTGATTAATATTAATCTATAAGCATTACTAACTTGTAAAAATGGTCTCAGATGTAATAATTTAATTTGTTAAAATATTTAAATACTAGGTCCAATATTAGGTACATCATCTACTTAATAATTTTGCAACCATTTTTAGGATAACTAATTTTCTTTAGGGTAAACATTTTAACAATATTGCTTATTAGACCTTTCGCGACTGCTTTCACTGCAGAGACTAAAACTACGAGCACATATTTGCAATAGATTAAGTAAAAATTAAGTTATTTATTCTAGACTTTGGGTATATTTATTATTATACGCTTCGGTGCCTAATCAAATAAAAATCAATTATTTAAACTCGTAATATTATAATTCACCTACTATTATCTGTATTATATCCCACGATTAATATGATAGTAGTATGATAATAATTTATATGATACGTTTGTTTGGTTTCCGTCTTAGATCGATATAATATTATGTTTGCGTTGTGCGTATACAATACATCTATAATATCTTCGATATTAATTTACAAATAAGAACTACAGAAGCTATACCGCAAGTGTATATGCTGAAAATGTATGATAAAGACCATGCCATGATAAATATAAATGCCGGTGGCTTAACATAAACGATGGGTACTATAAACTTTTATTATTAGTAGTTTGCATATTTTTGCATAAATAGCTCGTCGATGAATATGTGTTTCGTAACGACATAACCCCTGGAGCAAAATTTAAAATAGACAATTCGAAATGATATTTTGTATCTCACTTATCTTATCGGTATTTTTTTGTTTCATTCGCATGATTAAAGATTTGTATTATTTATAAAGCGACTGCATGGTATGTTGATGTCCCTCAAATGAAACCGAAAGAGTAGAATTCGAAGAAATGTGTAATTCATAATATAGGTATTTTAAACATTTGAAAAAAGTCTCTGCTACTTTTCGTTAATTATCTCACCAACGACAACCTAATAATTATGTAAAATAATATTTTTCTGATTTAAAAAAAAACATGCTCACAAAATCACAAATTTTGAAAAACGTAAGAGGGATTTTTGTAACTGTTTTTCGATGATTACGACGTTGTGTCGTCGTCTCTTGGGTTAGTCTTATAAATCGTTTTGTAGTATTTCTTATACCCACACATGCACATAGATATCTATATAAATATAACTAGTTTAAATAAAGTTAAGCTAAACCTCGATGGATTGAGTATGATGGATTACGAGCAAGCATTGTTTCCATTTTGACGATGTAAAAAACTTCCGGTTAGAACCATTTTTCGTTTCACGACCGTCTATGACAGCAGGGTCACATTATTGGAGTCCATCAGAAAAGTGTTCATGTCACACTTTATTTATTTAGTCAGTTAGTGGAATTGTTTTTAATTGTTATTAATTGTTACTATGTATCGCTTTCGGGTTTTTAATGTGCGTTACGTGTGAATAGTGAATTTGAGAAGCGGCAAATATTTCTCTAATGTAAACTTTGGATTAATAATTAAAAATTTTTTCTTGAGCTTTCAGAACCATAACCAGTTGATTCTTAAGTTCTACATTTTGCTGTTCATGTATTCAATAATAACGTTTCAGGAGGTTCGGTCATCCCTATATTTGCAATATAATATGGCCAGAAAAAAAGTTCAAAAAAGTTAAAAAATGTAATAGTAATTTTATATAGTTCCCTAAAAAATAATTTATACTTTTTTAGGTGTTTCAATGTTACATAAATAATTCAAATCGAAATAGTAATATTAGTGACAGAAGGTCGTTAGTTTATATATACGATTGGTTTAGAGAATACCACTGATAGTATAATGTTTTATTTATTCAAATTAAAATAATGTATGTAAAAAAACTACAAACCTAATTTTTGATTATGTAGGCATATAATTATATTTAAAATATCTTAAATTTGTTTCATTATTATTTAATTCACTAATATTATTACATCTATATTTAGCCATATTTCATTTTACTTAATTCGGAACAAACATTTTTTCGTACAACTATTGTATGGGAAACATCATAACGCTGTTTCACGGTCAACTATCAGTTTTAACATGGTATATTTTCGTAACTGGAGTATTGAATACCACACACAGCGATCGGCATTGATCATGCATTTATAAGGTAAAAAGTAAAATAGAACTTAATTTTTATCAGAAATAGGTGATCAACAAAATTAACAAGTATAATATTATCGTTTATCTATCAAAAAGTGATAACGAAAATCGTCGTATACAATCTGGGAAAGTGATTTAAAATTTGAATTTGAATTGATTTCGTCCGTCAGTCAAGTAATCAATTTGATTGATTAAATACATTTTTTATTTAAAAAATCGAGGGTTTACCAATTTCGCTTAAAATGACCTTCTCGTATACCAATATTGCGCTAGGTCATTTTCTAGGTCAATGTATACCAATCGCGTTCGATATTTTCTGGGTTGATAGACCAATTGCGTCTGGTAATTTTCAGAGTAATATTCATTGTATTCAATAGCACTAGGTATTACAATATTTTTATCGGAATAATAAAATGAACATGAACATTAATAGTACATATAATATAATCTACTATACACAAATACATAATTATAATAAAATAAATCAATATTATTTTATAGTATAGCACATTTTTAGTGTATAGTTAATAATTATTCAGAATATAAAAATGTATAGCTTATTTTAGATTTAACGAAAAACGATTGTTCGTCATTTTTTTCAATTATTGTACAATGAACGTCATTAATAGTTAGTGCATTTATAATATACCTTATATACAGAGGACATACCTATAAAGTAAATGCAGCGCAATTGGTATACTGGCCCTAAAAATTTTGTTTTAGGCGCAACTGGTTCATTCTAGTAAAAACCATATTGTTTTTCTACTATAAATGTTAAGCAAAATATTAAAGTAAAGTACAGCATTATTGAAATATAATTCCATAACAATTGACAATCTCGAAACACTATTGAGACACCGGGACGATAATTTAATCGAAACCGGTACAGTCCCTGTGAAACAGGGGTGTATAGCAACCCCAATTACAATATTATGCGTTTACTTAATTACTGTTTATTACTATAGTATTATAATGTATTAACTTTTTAAAAACCTTTGATTATAATTTAAGAGACAATATTGAACACCTATGTTTTGTATTTGGCTATTGAATTTTCGATTAGACTCGATACGTATATTTGATTATAATAAATTGTGTTAATCTCAATTAAATTTTGAACATGAAATGATTGACATAAAAACAAATAATTGTATGTTGTTATAATTTATAAACAAAGTCGGTTATTAATTGTATTATTAGTTGTTTGAGAACCTCTTGATTTATACGTACACGCGAGCAATGCCCAAAATACAGGGACGCAATAGTGCTCGCCGCCATCTACGGCCTTCAACACCCAAGCTAATACATATATTATATCGGAGATGGCAAACCTATGGCACACGGACACTGTTTAGGCGACACGCGTATAAGCGATTTGGAGTCTGTCTAATTTTTTTTTTTTTTTTGGTTATAGCCATAATGATTTAAATGATTTTTAATTTATTCGTATTTCGTTCGCCTACGAAAAAAAAATAATAACATCTATTTCCGGCTAATTTGAACGGCGCTGGCGGAAGTGGGCGAAATGTGTCGTTTATTTTTATCACCCCTGCTATGGACCCATGCAAGTGCATGCAAGTGTTATGATTCTCGCACATATAAATACGGATGGGGCCAATACAGTCAATACACGTCCACCTTGGCTGGGACCACCGTCGCCGCCGTGTGTCGTCACTCGAACGCGTGCGACCGTGATAAACATCCGGAAACGGTTTTGCGTCTTACTTATTATATGATAATATACCTATTTATATAATAGTGATATGGTAATATAGTATATTGCGTTCCGAAAATATAATTTCTTCACGACAAAATGATAAATCACAGAAGAATTTGTTTTATCGGCTGTCAACGGTAGACGAACTATAGTGTGAACTGTTTCGGCGAAATGATATTGTCCAATGCGGATTCGTACTTTACTTGCAGTTTTTTTTCCTAAACAATGAAATGAAGCTTATTACATTTTAAGTACGAAAAATCCAGCGGTCATCTTTTTGCAGATAATAATACTGTGTGCACGCAATGTAATTATTTGTACACACTATTATTATGTGTGAGTGTGCGATGAATTATACAGCTGATTGATCGCAGCAGTGTGTGGTGTACGGTCACAGTTCAAGAGGAGTAAATCAACAAACGAAAAGATGAGCGGAGGGCAATAAAACATATTATTAATAATTATTTACATAACATTAAAAATACGTTTAAAAAATTTAATACTCATTATTATATACTATAATATGATGTGTAGCTTGTCGGCGTTATCAGCGTATCAACTGAAAGTTAAGTGATGATGATGATGTACACCGCCGCCGTGGCGGCTAGGTGGGTGTTATTCGATTACGCACGCCGCTCGCAAACCGAATTCCGCTAAGCATGTTACAATTTTATTATTATTTTCTGACGAATAGTTTATACGACGAACTCGACAGTCGCACGCGGCACTTATCGCGGTGAAGACGGACGCCGCGAAACGAACGTTATACAATACATAATATTTTTTTTTTTTATCGAACCATCACGAGAATGGTCTAGACTCTGGACACACACACTTGACGATATACATACTACGATCGTAATATACTAATATTAAATTATTATTTTACAAGTCGTGCTTATGTCTGTAGACACCTGTTGAGTACATATTATTATACTTACATCGGATCCGCGAGACTGCGAGAGCAACTCCCTCAAACGGAGTAAAAGAAAAAAAAATCGCGTCGATGATAGGTACACATACATGTTATATAAATATATTATACATTGCACGTTTACGATATCACGGTTATAATACTCGCGTACGTATGTATAATTATGATTATTAATAATAATAAAGTAGCGACAAATGTACATAATTGTTGATATTATATTATGCAGGACGTGGTAAAACAACGCGATATGAAAATGGTATAATAATAATAATAATATACTAGACGCGAGATCGAGTGGCGCGGGACTCCGTGCACACATCTAGTATTATAATATTCGTAAATCGATCGTTTAATACGAATCGTAATCGCAAATCAGCTTCCGGACTCGCGATCGTTTATCGCTACAGATGACGTATCGGCCGGCACATAATGTGAACACACGCGCCGCCGGACCAGGCGTATCAGTCACGTCCGATAGGTCGTACAGGTAGCAACAGCCGCCACGGGCGCATCATGCCACCGCCGCCGCCGCCGCCGCAATCCGAGTGATATAATAATAATATAAAATATAATAATATATCGTGCGATGCATTATACTGTATTCCGACACACGGTCCGGCCGATAGTATAATATCACATACACCCGTCGCAGTGACCTGCACAGACCTACACACATCGGATTTTATTCCACGTACGGATATGGCCAACGAAACGACGGCGAACTGCCGAGGACCGGCGGCCGGAGATCCGAAATCCGAGCCCGACGAGTCGTCGTACATGCTGCGGGACAAAAGTGCGTATAACTATATACTATAATATATTATAATAATTTGTTATAAATATTACAAATTTGTATACAACAAACGTATAAATGTATTTAATATTACCGGTTTGGATTTCCTCGACAAACCGAAACAGATGTTTGTTCAAGCTGGCGCGTGGCCAGGATTTTTTCTAGGGGGGTGTCTTAATTTTATATTTAAATAACGAAACATGTGGAGTTAACGCGCTCTCTCGTCAATCTTCGTGTCATAAAATAGAACCATACGACAGCGTCACATTCTGTAGAAATCTGAATCACACGCCGTACATTTATTTTTGCGTTATACGGCCGCTGCAGGGGGGTCTCTTGACATCCAAAACACCACTGTATAGTTGTACACGACGTGGTCCGATGCCGTATCACTCATTTGTTGATTGTTTATGTGGCTGTGTTTCTCGTGCCGCCGCAGGGCCGTCGCCGCCGATGCTCCGCGATCAACATCGCCAACACGCGGGGCAGGAACGTCATCACCGGACATTCGACGACAGCTGGGCCTGGTATGTGGTGGGCGGGTGCGCGTTCGCCAACTTCCTGTTGCCCGGCATGCTGAGATCCTTCGGTCCCGACGTCCTGGACGGGTTCGTCGAGGTCCACGAGCTCGAGTTCTCCAACCGGTCCGCCGTCGGTTGCCGGTGGATACCGGCCACGTTCAACCTGACGTTTTTCATAGCCGGTAAGTGCCAAAAGCGATGACATAACAATAATAATCAAATAATATTATATACACGCCGACTATGAGGTCCGCAGTGACACTCGGGTATAGTCGATTTTAGGGTCGGATTTATGGCGTGTAAATTCCACCGATATTTTTTCGAAAAATCAAATCCGAATTTTTATAATATAGTATAAAGTATACGATAAAAATTAATTAATCAAAATTAAATTTAACAACTGAAATATTATAAGGTATAATAATATATTTGGGAAGATTTAGTATTGCTTGTTATCGCACAATGTCAACTTAATAACTGTATTGGGCGCCATCATGATCTACACGATAATCATGAAATAAAATATTTATTTAAAGAAATAAAAATTATAGTCTACGACATGCGAGTCATTTTAATCGAAATTAGTATTTAAACTTCAAATTAAAAAATAAAATTGATCAATAAATAATATAATCTGGTTTGTTTAACAAGTCAAAAATTGATCAGTACCATCACAGCGGAATTTACATTATTTTCACTGGTGAAAATTCGTACCGGTGGAATTTACAATCACTCCGCTGGCTATAGTGAATAAGATAGATTTGTATTAGAGATTATATGTTGATATCTATCTACCTACCTACACATTGAGTATACATCGCGATTTATGTGAGCTTTCAAACAGACTCGAATAATTCGAAAATTGTAATAATATTATTGTTGCCTAATAAGAATTTGTTATTTGTTTCGCTGCACGCCTATAGTACACGCACAAAACAAATATTGCGTATGCATCGTTCGTGTAGCACGTGTGTCATCGCCGCAAACGTATGAAGAAATGGACTGATAACAGCTAGCGAGAGAAGTCCGGGGGCCAACTATACTGTTGGAAAAATATAGCGTATACGATTTAAGACCATAAATATATGGCCGTTAATAGCGAGGGAGAGGAAGAAGTTCAACAACAACGAGATAACGACATTTTTAGAAAAATACAACATAATAAGCACTTTAGGTCACATTGTCATGCAGTATATATATGCACTGAACTACGTAGGTACACCGATGTTTTTTTTTTTTTGCTCTCGGCAAAATATATAACCAGGGCATGGGGGGACGCAGTACCTACATGTCAACGTACCAATAACCGGGTCCATAATATTATGGTCATCGCACTATCGGACCGCAGCGATATAACAATTTCTACCTGTACAGTTTGGGCAATCGTTCTTATATGTACATAATGCGTATATACCTACCTATATGTGTAATATATACGCACCGAAAATGTCGTGTCCTCTGCACTTAGGTCTGAACAGCTCGAGTCCGGAGTACTGCGCGCGTGGTATCTATATGTTCCAATACCTGTACAATAAACAATAATGCGAGATCGGTAAATCATGCCTTTATCTGTAATGAGTCACGTGTCGCACATAATATATCCATCGCGAGCGGCGGGATTTTTTTTTCGCCACATGTACTTGTAATATACCATATACCTGACGTTTTGGCGCCGTCTAGTACTTACACCCATGCCCCGTGTGTGCGTGTGTGCGTGTGTGTGTGTGTGTGTGTGTGTGTACTGAACATTTGTGATTTATGACGCGTGCCAGAAAATCCTGACGCGGTCGCCTCTCCGCGCTCACCGCCCGCAACTCGTCGACTGTACGAACTGTCACGACTTTTTATTAATTGTACGATGAAACAATCGACCCGGAAACCAGACGCTGCGGCAATCGTCATTGCACATTACTATCATACACCAATCGAATGTTCCTTCCGCCAAACATGTCGTACAGAATATTGGGCCTTATAATATCATTGTATTTATGTATTATAACGTACGTACGTGTACCTACATACAAAGCTTACTGCGTTCACCGTACACGAATCGTACACGTCAACACGTGTTTGGTTTTCCGACGACTGATGCCTGCAGTGCCTTCGGATGTGACCCCGCGGCTTAAAAAACCATCCGCTTCTAATTGTTTTTTTTTCTTGAACCTGGTCACGGATTTTTACCGCATATATTATTTTCCAAAATGGCATCTGAAAAAATACCGCGCGTCTGCAGGCTTCTGTGCGCAATATTATTGTGCGTACATCGGTCGCGCGTACCCACGTTCAACGTTTTAAAACGTATATTCCGATAATGCGATGGTATACCTACTTATAGTATATACTTTTTTACAGACATAACAATCGATAATCGTATTATTATAATATAATAGTGTGTCCTAAAATATTTAATCAGTGCACTACAAACATTTATTCTGTCAAGTGGGTGTTTAAAATAAAATGCATAATAATATATTATATCTATATAATAAATTATTTATTTGTTTACACTTATCAGTTCTGTTTTACGGCGTTATTATTTTAAATATATGAATATATTTATGTACACAGTTTGGTTATAGTTAGAACACAAAGAATATGATATTTTAAAGGCATACGCATTATTACATAGGTATTTATGTATTTTGACTATACAGGGTGATTTTTGTTATCAATAAGCACTCCTTATCTCGAAAGTGTATCGACGTTTATTTAAATATTTTTTTTTACATCATTTATTTAATTTAAATAATCTAACCATTTGAATAAGTCAATAAAAACTATCTATTTTAGTAATTTAGTTAGTTGTTATAGGTGGTATACAGAACAATCGAATTTTGAACAAATATAACCATAGCCCATAGGTAGTAGTTGTGACTTAGGTATAATAAATGTATAATAGTGTTTGAAGATTATACAAGCAGACTTAAGTAGCACAGAGATACGGATACCCCGCAAAATGGTTGGTGCACACTATTCCGCTCATCTAAACTCTAAATACATACTTATTTATCAATTAGTTAATTCCAGTTAGTCATTCTTTCAAAATTTGATTTTTGAACATTAAAATTCTCTATTTAATTACCTGTATTTTAATGACTAAAAACTATGTACAAAAAACATTTATAATACGTTAAGAGCATTGCTAAGTAATTATTAAATACGTATAGTTATTTAGCCATTGTTAAGATCATGTCAGTGCACTATTTGGCATCTACTTATCTCTCTCTCTCATTCTGTAGATCTAGTTTTGTGTCGTTATAGCTGACCTCTATTATCAAATTTAATGTGTAAAACGTTATCTGTGTTTTTGAATAGTAGAAAAAAATCATACAAAAAAATATAATGTCGTTAAAAAGCCAACGTACAAACACAAATATTTTTTTTTAATTTTAGGTTTGATAATAGGTCAATTTATTCTATAATATTCGAGCTAACAACATAAGGTCGATTCAGCAGTTTTACTGTATAATATTATGTTGGTGGGTCGGACAAATAAAACAAATGAGTTACTGACATCTTCTTAATACTTCTCAAGATAATCAGTGCTTACTGTAAAAATAATTTTGTATATATACGTATCAACTATCAAATAATAAAATCCAATTTCGTTGAAATGTTTTATTGCTAAAAACACGTCTCCGTCACATTCCCAAGTCGAAGTCCTAAATTCGAACGGAAGAATATAATATAACTAAGTACATAACATAATTACAGCAACCTCCTTTACCCCACGCTTTCATCGACAACGGTATTAAATTATAAAAAATACTTACCAAATACATACACTCACTCACTACTTACTATAAATAAATTCGTTTTTACTCGTGGGCGACAAATTCCAACCACCCTTCCACTATACCGGTGGCTCTGGCAACTCCTGCACCCTCGTCGTACACTCGTACACGAAATCAAATACTATTTTAAACGGACCTCGTTGACGCCTGCAATTCCATTACGAACTAATAACCTTTGCCGCCCACAATTTTTAAAATAATATTATGGAGCTCTTTTCGTATAAAATCACTTTCTCCTGACGATTTTTCAACTCGATTTACATACAATATTGTTATGCGCATCGTATAGCTCTATGGGCGTAACTAGGATTCGATAGTTACCTACAGAGCCTATTCACCTATTTATATATATATATATATATAGTCCTAGAAAACCAAAGTCCAAAATAACCCGTGTGATGCAAAGCCCCCACACCTCCATCATAAATTTAGTGTAATCAAGGAGACTATAGGGAGTTCAGGTAAAATAAAAAAAGTTGAAAATAAACCGCAGAGTAATTAAAAATGAAAATAAAATGTAAACTTAATGAGCATAATATTGTATAATGTACAACACAACTGTATACCCCTGTATTTAGATCAAAAAGTTTATAAAATATCATAGTCTTATTGTAAATAATTATCTCTCTATAATTATTATAACCAGATCACTGTATCTGTTTTGGATCATAGTTGACCTGATTTACGTTTTGATTCCTCTTCTATATAAACTTGTATACAAGGAACGTCCACAATGGCATAATCTATTTATCTATTATAATATAATCGAACGTATCCTGACTGAATAATCAACGTAGAGCACATAAACTGTGATGGTCTACAGTAGAGACTTGAAATATTCATGATACCTTTGTAACACCAAGTATGGGATGCTCTAAGAAAGAATTTTCCGAAATTTGCATTCCAAAGAAGTGCCCAGGGATTTTGAGATTCACGATGGAAATCGAGATTAATTTTTTTGTTTATAAAATACCTAATTGATTGCCGTTGGTTTCAGATAATTTATTGTATTAGTTAGTTATTAACATCGTTTACACTAGACACACATGTATTAGGTATAACTTAATTTTTATTTTTAAATTTTTATTTTTTATATTTACTTAAATATATTTAGCCCACTAAGCTAAGCCCACACTGCTAATATTATGTAATAGTTTATTATATAAATTATAAACACACAATGTGTATTTAGATATAAAATGTACACGTAAAAATTTAATTTTTGCTGATTTAAACTCCTCAAAATTAAAATTTTGAAAAATCTTTTTAAATTGCATGGTTTAATTATGATTTTAATCGATCCACAAAATTTCAAGTCAACAACTAATAGGTTCGGTTCTGAGTTGATTATGAATCAGTAGGTGACTTTCGTTTTTATGTATAAATAGTAAAAGCTATTCTTTCCTAGGAGAAATTGGTATTTTTTTTGTGTATAAATAAATGACTTCTATTAGTTACTTGGGTAGATGAGTTAAAATCATGCATCAAGTCGTCTGGTTGATGGCCTCGAATGTTAATTAATTAAATCTTGAAAAAACAAAATGTATGATAATTCATTTATAGAATGATTTCTCTATAATAATATGATTGTTTCCTATAGGCACAAAAAATACTCGACCGATTTTGACATAAATGTCGTAGATTTTTCTCAGATAAATCAGAAAAAATGTAGAGAATAGCTTCAACTATCTCTGCAAATTAATCAAGAGCTGTAATATCTGAACTCGAGATACCCACACTAAAACTGAGATACACCGATATGGTGCAGTTTGTATTTATATTTTTATCATTTTTTTACGGGTGAAGTTACACAACTAATAGTAGGTAGTATAATATATTAAAATAGGTTTATTCACAGGTACCTATGAATGTATAATAACTATTAAATATTTTACAAATCGAACATTTTATTTTATGTATTGAATCGAATTAGTAGGTACCCAATTAGCAGGATATGCTAAAAACGTCTATAGAATAAGGGTGAGAGAGAGGAGCTAAGCTCCCCCCCCACCTAGTTGCGTTCAGCTGTATTATAGTGTGTCTGTATTTTATTTTCAGAGCAATTCATCACATTTGAATATAATAATAACATATTTTTTATATTTATTTATATTTTATTCGGTGATTTCAGGGTCTCTGTCCTGTCTACTGTGCAAACTGATATCGCACCGAGCGGTAACGTTCTGGGGCGGACTTTTGGCTTCCGGTGGTATGATGTACACTTCGTTCGCTAACTCTATATCTCACCTGTACATAAGGTACGTGTAATGAAACGGAATTTATTTTATTTTAGGTAATCACATAGAAGACACGTATTTTTGTTACGGACAAAGTGCAAGACCATCGGGAAATGTGCAGTACACTGCCCGGACATTATGGGTAGGCACTGCACTAGATTTTAACGGGCAATGTAGTAAAATTATGCACATTAGAATGTTGCCCGGTCTAGCTCGGTCAATGTATAATGTCAATGGTTTCGCTTTATTAAATACTGCTTTTTATAGTTATTTTTTGAAATGTTTATCTAAGTATACTTATATAATAGTAAATAAGTACCTATATTTGAACTTTTCCCCGCTGGATCGATATATTTTTTGAATAATATTTATATTTTAATTTAACCATTTGTGCGTTTATAAACTTGCATTGAATAATATTTTTTAATATTTTTACTTTTAAATTTTTGTCCGGGGAAAATTTTCCCGTTGGGGGAGCAAACGTCCAATAAATCAGAGGAGGCACTAAATCCAGTTAAATGAGTACCTATTGATTGTATTTTTTTTATTTCCAATTTTTAAATTGTTTTGTTGTAGAATATTTAAATTTCTCTTCCGTTTTAATTTGATTTGAGCTTTTACAGAATACTAAATTATACATGACTGCGCGTTGCACAAATATTACCTATTTAGTATAATCATCACTCACATAGGTATTAGTTACTCTTTACGTATGATTTCAATAATGTAATTATTGTGGGTACAAAATGCTAAATTCTTCAAACACAAATCGATTATACCAATACCCATCTTAAAAGTTAAAACCTATTTACCGATCATTAAATTGCTAAATTTATTTTGATAAGCCATATTGATTGTGTAGACGATTTTGACAGGGCGAAAGTCGACCGAATAATATCGAGAGCCAACGTATTTACCTACTAGCATTTGAAACACAAACAGAACAAGTAAACAATACTTCCGTAGTTACATTATACAAACCTAGTCATCTTAATTCTGTCCAATTAGTTTCTAATAATACTTTAAGAACGCCATCACTAAATATTGATATGGATCGCTATAGGTATTATCTATGTAAAGTTTGTGATCTAATCAAAAGCCACAAGTTTTTCATTAATTTTATGTTGCTAAACATAGAACTTTCCTATAGGTTAAGTAAACTTTAACCTGGCAATGTATTACCCTGCCAGGGCCAAATAGTATTTTGATGAGTTGGCCCAAAACACTGGGGTATACCAGGTATACCAGCAAAGGTGTTGTAATCCGGTCTAACTATTTTACCGAAAAATGTTTGCAGGCTTGCAAAAAAAAACGAGAAATATATATTTCAAATCTATACCTACACATAAAAATGAATGTACCTATATCTGTCTGTATGTCTCTTATATGCGTGCCTAAACAACTGGACCGATGTTGATGAAATGTTTGGTGTGTGTTTGAGTGGTACCCTGGTTTTCTGGATGATTTAGATTCACAATTGGACCCGGCAGGTCCAACCCGGAGGGATACTCACAAAGTGATTTTGATATTTACGAAGGAAATTTTTATTTATAAATGGTTGCTATTGGTTATGGGAGAAATAATTAGTTGAAATTAGTATTATAACAGTAAATTATTCACAAATGGACGCTTTAATATCACTCAGAAAATTCTAGAATTGTCATTTTATGGACCCATAATAATTATTATTCTTGCAACTGCATTTCAATCAAAAGAGAAACTGCATTTGACATTTTTTTTTTTTGTTTTTATTATTCCATAAAAAATTAATGGGCAGGGAATGGGCAGCTTTCATTTGTATGGATAAAAATCCAAGTTTATTCTAACTTCAAAGTTGTGTGTGCTTTATATTTATCACTGCAGTGAATGGTGGTGAATGGTGATCCCTAGATCTGTACTTCTCTCATAATTCTTGGCAAAATGATTTACCAACAACCTAAATATGATTGTCGCATAGTTAGCCACAGTATCGGTGCAGTACAAATAGCCACAAGTTGTAGATCACAACATGGGTGGTAGAATAACCTAACCTGGTAGATAGCTCAGGAAACCTGTACCCATATAGATACCAAAAATACACCTGCATCACATTGTCCAATGGCCTCATCTAATACATATAGTATATACATCTGGTTCGTTAAAAATTAACACGTTAATTATTTATTGTAATTTGTCATTTATATTTATCTATATTGTGATATAGCATACAATATATGACATGTTATAGGTAACATAATATATAGATTAAATAACACTATAAAGATAGGCAATGCCAGTGCAATCAATCATTTATCACTCATTATATTTTGACTCGCTAGTAGGAGGAGGTTGGAAATAAGTATACATTTATATTCGCCAGCTCCTGCAGCAGTCACTAGTGATGAATCAAATCCAAATAGTGAGCGATATAATATAGTGTTATTTCATTGGCATCATTGCCTATCTTTAGTGTTATACTTTAACCAATGACTAATATAATGTACCTACATGACCAATGGACGTTTACCCGATTTTTCGCAGCTATGGCGTGATGGTGGGATTTGGAGCGGGCTTGTGTTACTCGGCCGGAATACTGATTGTCAACGAGTATTTTGACAAGCACCGAGGACTGGCCAACGGGTTTTCGCTGGCGGGCACTGCGATCGGCGCTCTTGCCATGCCGCCATACCTCGAGTTCTTGACCTTTTCATACGGCTACAGGTACATAACGTTCTACTGTGATGTCCGTTAATAGATATTTGGTACATGAAAAAATTGACTCGTATTATTAACAACTCCCAACTCGATCCATTGTACTTAATACCAGACAGGATCGACTTCCCCTTTTTTTCTTTAATAGGCTATATTGTTATTCGTCATCTGACTTTCGGAACTTTTATTGCCGCAGCACATTATACTAGGCACATACCAACTAGACGCCACAAAATACTTCAAGAATTTGCAAAGTAGGCCTCAAGTATATTTAAAAATTCCAAAAATCGAGTTTCAATAGATTATTCGTTATTAAAAGAAAAAACGGTGATGAACATGCTTGATGAATCATAGTATAATACTAATAGCTTAGATGTAGCTAGTGATGTATGGGTAGGTTGGTGTATAGGTAGTTAAGTCGACTATAAATTCTATTCATATTTTTCGAATAAAATACACGAGGTATTTTATTTTGCATTGTTTGCTTTTTACCTACTTTATCTTTTTAATACGTTCTAAATTAATGAGTGCCTAATAGCCATTACTCATTAGGTAGATATTTGAAATTATTTGAAAGAACAATATTTGTTATTATGTCGAAATGCCCAGTCTCATACCATCATTGGCATCATCGTAGATATATTTATTTCTATTTATTCGTTTCTGGTAATTGCTTATATGTATTACGTATAGGTGCCTACTTACAAGCTACGACTTTTACAATATTAAAATATATTATTAGTCAATTGTAACCAGTATAGTGGGTACTGTAATAGTATATCACGCATGTAGATGTATTGAATTCAAAGAATAAAACGCAATTACAGTAGGTACGGGTCGTCTTGTTTTTTAAAATATTTTTTACGGCTTCTTTAAAGTTTTTAATCTCATTCAAATCTGAATAGGCATTTTAGCCCAGGTAGACCGTAGACAAGACGGTCGGGACTCACAAAACGAAAAACAGCATAATATCGGTACCCACCTATAGTACCTATAATACTGCACGAATTTACGAGGTCTGCCCAATCAGTGAATCGCTTATATACCTAGCTAATATATAAAGACTAGGTATAGTAGAGTCTCGATAACTCGAATTATTCGCACCTTGATGGGTTCTTAAGTTGGGTTTGTAATCAAGTAAAGTGTCGCAAACGGATGGCTTCTTATTCGAAATGTAACGCGAGTGTACGCGTATTACTCTTACCGCATAAACTTATTATTGTCCTTAACTGTACGGATTGTTTATTTCTAATAAAAACTGTTTTCAAAAGTTATGTTTGAGCATACGAGTTTGTGTGCAGGTAATTTTTTAAAAATACACAAATCGAACATATTTTTTCTTTCCTTATTGCGTTTAGAGTTATCGAGACTCGACTGAAAATATGATTCGTTTAGACTTCTTAGGGCCAGTGTTGTGTACCTACCTTCTCCGGTTAAAGTCAACCGAAGTCTAATCGGCCGAGTTTGGCCGGTTATAAAACCTGTTATCAGCCGATTAGGCGTGATCGAAGTGTAACCGTAGACGGTACAACTACAACTGGCCCTCAACCCGACCAAATGTAACCAAACACGGTGATCTTTAAATTCTGTCATCACAGCATGTCGTTATTAATGTAAGTGTATCGTTTTTCCCGCAGAGGTGGCATTCTGATCGTGTCCGGAATGATGTTGAACACATTGGCGTGCTCGTTGACCTACAAACCCGCGATCGCTGATGCGGACCGGATGGTTCAACAGGACGAGGTGACCTGCACGAGGCCCGTCGCTACGACGACGTCCACGCAGACATCGATCAACGCGAGGGCAGTCACGGCGACGGCGTTTAAGGCGGCCACGGACCTGTACTACGCCGCGGTGGTATCGTCGCCTTCGCCGCCGCTGTTGAAATCCAAATTCAAGGCGGCGGCGGCGGCGGCGTCTTCGACGGACGACGATGACAATGAAGACGACGACGACGATGACGACGACGACGACGACGACAGACACCTGAAAAACACCCGTTGGCGGCGGTGGTTGAGGTGGCGACCTCCGCAGTTCGGCGGCACTCCGGCAGTCGAGTTTCTGGCCATGTCGGCAGTGCACGCGATCAGCCACTTGGCGTACGCCACCGCCGCGCCCGCGCAGTCCGCCGCCCTACAGCTGGCCGCGGCCGAGGCGGCCGGTCGTTTTCTCGCGCCCGCGGCTTCAGACATGCTGTCGCCCGGCGGCTCGGCGTCAATTTACCTGTACGCCGCGGTTGTGGCCGTCGGCGGCACTGTTCTGCTGACCGGCGCCACCGTCACATCGGACTCCGACCCGTTCCTGTGGCCACTGCAGTCGGCGGTTCACGCGCAATGGTCGGAGTCCCTGGTCGTGGCCTTCGGGCTGGTGTCTGGCGCGGCCGTCGGGCTTGAACCGCTGGTCGCGGTCCGCGCGCTGGGCCGCGAACAGCTCTCCGCCTCCTGTTCCGCCACGCTGCTCGGCAAAGGCGTGGCCCAACTGGCCGTCGACATGTTCCTGCGGCGGCCGTCAGCCGGCCAGTCGACTCGCGGCCGCGGTGCACGCTGGCCGCCGATCGCACCTTGCGCACTCTACGCGCTCGGATCCGTTCTGGTGGCCACTGCCGCCGCTTGGACGGCAGCGTTCCTTGTCAAGCGTCATTACGCCTCGAAGACCGGGTGTAGCCGGTACGTGAGAACCGCTTGACTAGTGCGGCCACCGCTGCCAAATGTGGCGAGACCATCATCCTACTATATTGTATAGGTAATGAGTTACGGTTACCTATTACTAATGACCGAAGTACCGGGTGGGCATTGGATAGGTACCTTAATTTAGGGTCGGGTTTCAACCTTATTTTCCACAAATTCGAAATAAATCATAATGCTTATCGTAGGTACACCTACTTCGTTAAAAGCGATTTCTTGTTATTGTAATTTTCGTAACTCGTTTAAGCGTAAAATCAACATTTGTATACAAAAAGTCAGTATATGGTTGGGTAGGTATCTAGTATTATATTAAGAAATACGAGAAATCTTAACACAATCGGGGGTCCCAAAGGAGCACGTCCCCTCTCAGATACTGTATACATCCAACTGCGTACCTAATGGCTATTAATCTTCTTCAAAATTCTGTAGTTTGTTTCCTTAATTTTTTTTCTGCATTCGGGAATGCTGCAATTTTACTAGAAAGACACGAGTTGAGCGCCTAACGTCATACCCAGGAGTATTTTTTTCAACGAACTTTATACTTCAGACAAACGATAATCGACGCAGTATGCGACTTGTAGGCAGCTTCCGTGGTTTGAAATATAATAGTCAGATATCAAAATCATTGCACAATAGTTAGGTACAACTTTTAAGAGGACTTAGTAGGTGCCTACCAAGCTGAGTGTATAGGCAGTTGGTAATTTATAGTCCAATAATTCCATGTTCAACATCATGAAAAGAGCTGGAAAAAATGTCAATAGATACATCACTGTAGGTAGGTACATAAAATTGTATCAATGATTCCGATTTCCACGATAATAGTAGGTAAACTAATAAATAAAAAAAGGTATAGTAGGTAAATATAACCTGCACATTTGACGGCTTCGTCATCGCAGAATTTATGCTCAAAACGTCTCTATGCACTTTAAAATCCTAAAAGCCTGGACAAAACTAATAATAGACGCTCGCCTAATAACAACGAATAAAATATTATAATGGACATAAAAAACAGAATGTCCAATGTCTAGACGTCTAATGGCACGTGTTAAACCAGAATTATTGTAAAAAGTTACGTAATATCATTATTCCTGTCTGTGATGAATAGTTTGATACTATAGGTAGACGATAGAATATATGTGTACATTAATTAGAAATGTAGAACCGTAATTTCAGACGCATTAAAATAGGTCGAAACAATAAAGAAAAAACCGTTCTGATTTCACGTGGGCACCTATAACCTAATTGACGTTTAGTCTGATAACTAGAGGCTTTTAAATCTGGAGCCAAGAGTGCTTGATGTAAGTACTCGTGTCATGACACTCATTTGGCGTATTGGCCTAATACGTTTTGAGCACTCGGTTGCGGTAAACATGTTTTTTCTAAGACTGAATGTGGTCGAATACGATTTGTATGCGCTTTTCGAGCTTAAATCCTATTGAAAGTGCTCAGGCATGTTTTGATTTCCGTTACTATTAAGAATTTGTTACCTCTGAATATTTTAACATTGTTGTTTCACTGAAGAAATATGTTTTTTATTTTTTATAACTTTATCTACTACGACAACTGTATGTCTAATTAAGAAGTATGTGTATATACTGCTGTATATATTATATTGTATTAAGATCATATGAATTTTATGAATCAGGAATGGCCAACATTCTTAATAACTTACATAATTTCAAATTTGATGTTATGTTCAACAAAGGTCAAAATAAATAAAAAAATGTATATTTTTATTAAATTATAAATCACCTATTTGGTTACAAAAAAATTAAGATTGTGTAATTCATTACAATTTTTGTGACATAATAAAAAAAATATTATCATTAAATAGAATATAAAACAACAACAAAATATTGTCCACTAGTTGGCCCTTCCTAGCTTGTATGGTGTATTAATTTGTAAAGAGTGAATACATAATTAACGGTGAAATGTGTTGTACACTTGTACAACTAAATTAACCGAGTACTGATTTTTTTTTTTTCATTTTTGTACCTGTGTAAAAATAAAATTATTTTTGATACCTACAATGAGATTTTAATTTGTTCCCAGTTACATATTATGGATAACTTTAACAAACACAGTCTTATGAAAAACAGTGTTTATTTAACATTAATATTATTATTTTTTATTTATAGTTTATTAAGTATAATCTAATATTTATAAATTGGTGGGAGGTATTAGTTTGCACTTTGCAGTAAAAAAAAATAAAAGCTGAGGTTATTATTGAAATGATAATAATAACACTGTAACATTCATAAAATTGAAACATATAATTAATATATACTCAGTTCTTTCTTTTGTAAATTTATCTTCAATAAACAACGCCAATCAACACAATATTGATTTACAAAAAAATCATGACACATAATAATATAAATTAAAAATATAATGAATATAATAGTAATGAAAAAAAATATGCCATCATTAAAGTATTAATAAAATTAAAATACATTGACAAATATTAAGAAAGTGTACTACAATGTTATCTTGATTAAAAAAACAAGTAATATAAAACAAACATTAAACACTAATTCGAACACATACTTTTTTCAAAATATAATATTTACAATCAATATAGTATATTGTATGAGAATTTAAGTTAAAAACATTACATATTTATAATTTTTACTATATAACCGAATGAAGATATCAAATAGTAAACTGGATAAAATACCCATTCAAAATCACTTATATGGTCATAAAGAAATAAACTTTACATTTAACAGGAATTCTCACAATAAATAATCGCTTATTAAATAATTGGAAATGCATGGCACATTTTTATTTAAATATACATTAAATAATAAAAATTAACTAGGAACAAAACGTTCCTGTTTCAATAAAAGTATTTTAGGAAGAAATATTTACTTACTTTTATAAATCAATCATTCAGAATGTCAAACTGCAGTTAATAGTAAAATATATCTAGTAAAACTGTCTAAGTTAGAATCTAATTTTGATATTTTGATTATTTTAACTAAACATTTAAATTTACATTATTCAATTATTTTTTTGTTTTTGAATATCTTATAGTAAATTCTAAAAAGTAATAAGTCTTGACATCAGTTGTTTCACGGTCTCCAAGAAGTTAACATTAACTTATCATTCAATTCAGATAAAATGATAGCACATACTTTTGCTTTTTCATTCTTCATGATAGTATGATATATTTTATCTTCTGGATCTTGTACGACTTTTGTTTTATAATTTTGTTTTAGGGATGCCACACCTTTTTTAGGCTGTGATATTTGTACACCTCGGCGACCTTGATAATTATCTTTTTGTTTTGCATTTGGTTTTTCAGTACGTTTCTGTAAAAATATTTAAATTAAAGATGCATGACGTTACACCTATTTAGTATTCATATTATATTATATTTTATTAATTAATAGAATTAAATTTTTTAATAGGTACCTATTATGAATTAAAAATATATCAAATGATAGATGTATGAAAATGATAAAGCAATTCTAAGAAACCTGAATTTGTCACAAAAATATTAGAAAATAGGTTTCTGCAAACAATATTTAAAAATTAAATCATTTTTACTATATATACTAGGAATTCCAAACATGTAAACATTTAAACACTTGAGTTTATTTTTATAAATACAATTTTTCCATATCATTATAAATTATAAAGGTTAAAAAATTTAGCATTACCTACCAAAGTTTGAGTAAATAGTAGAAATAAGAGCCTATTGGATAATACCGTCCGTGTAATAAACACATCGTTATTTTTTAATTGACATACATATTTAGAATTGTATATATATAATTGATTTCTGTTTGATTTTTAATGTTTGACAACAATCTATTATTTTTGGGTATGATAAAAAAAATTGATGATAATAAAATATTTAGGTCAATTGGTAAGTAAATAAACTAACATTTTACAAAACTATAAGCAATATTTCTAGGTATAGTACCTATGATGTAATAAAAATATAATGCTTAAAAAAAAATTAGTCAATTAGAAATTCAGCATTTATCAAATTCAAAACTATTTAGAACATCAGAAACAACTAATACATAAATTTAACTCAAAGCAAATATTTTTTGTGATGAATCAACTTACCCGAGTTTTACGTATGAATGCAGAGGCATCGTAATAGTTTGGTTTTTCACGGCGCACACGCTCAGTTCTACGGCGGCCGTCTGAACGTGTAGTTGGAGCGGTTGTAACATCTTTGGATTCCTGGACTGGCACGACCGCCGCCGCTGCCACCTTGGCTGGGGCGACTTTGGGGGTTATGTCTTTTTTGGACAGGTAAAATGAGTGCTTGCATTTGGTACAAGTCTTCACAGCAACTGGGTACTGAAAGTAACAACAATTGATGACAACGCCATGGCAAACAAATAAAAAAAAAGAATTTAAAGCGACAGTTGGATGACAACCAATATGGCTATACACCGCGGGCGGTAATTAATTTTTTTAACGTTACCTGTAAGCCACAACCGGGGCAAATTTTTTTCACGGAAACTTTTTTGTGTTTTAACATGTATTAATCTTTGTACGTGAATTTGACGGTGAAAAAACAACCGGCCGGCCCCGGGTGTACTCGTGCCGCAGTATGTCAGCAACGACGATCAGGCATCACCGTTGATGGTCGATGTGAAGTCCAAATAGTCGGACGAAGTTTATTTTAACGGGAAAGTAAAGAAAACATCAAAACAAAATACAAATTGAGTTATTGCCATTTTAAATCGAAGAGGACGACGTCTATCGTCTAATCGAAACGCTGTCGGTGGCACTGGCCTCTGGCGGACCATACGCCAACTGCCAAGTCCAAGTGGCAAGTACTCATTACTCAACAACTCGAATTTCCCTGTGGCGGCCGTGCCTGCCTGCGGTCGTCGTTATCACTGTAGTAAAGTTGTCATCTGGCCATGCGTCATGTTGGCAACACTCTTCGGCCACGCAGTCTTGCTCTTGCACGGTAATCGGTGACTGATACCCCAGTTCTCCAAAAACCTTAGATCATATTATTATACTAATCATTTATGATCTAAGCCAAAAACGATAAAAAAAAAAAAACATTTTCAAGTTCACATTATTTATAGCGTTTTCGATTTGACATAATAGTGTGCACGGAAAATTAATACATATTACATTGAAATATTGAATTGTCTAAGACCGTGTTCACAACCGTGGAGTTTGAAGACCACGATTTTATCACGTGTTTTATAAAACTGTAAATGTGTAAATCTGTGATTATATCTTTAATGTTTAAATTTAAGAGGACGCTAAACAACCATTTGTTGTTTCTCCGTCTTACAAGTCGGCAAATTTACCTTCTGCAAATTACGTTTAGCTCCGTCAAATTACATATTAGACTGAATGAATCGACCTATAAAGAAACTTGATGGTAAGAACATTATCTGTGTTTGTTTTGCAAATTATTTACCATAGTTCAGTTTTTAAGTGAGTTATGAGCATTTTTAATTTACGCATAACTTGTTAAAAAATTGAAATGTCGTAAAAAACCTACGTACAAATACATGTAATGTTCTAACCATCAAGTTTCATAAAAATAATTAACTCTAATTTTTAAACTTGCGAAGGTTAAGTCATTGTAGTAGTTAAGTACGTTATATACTGAATGTAAGTTTGCTATGTTAAGCACTTGTAAGTTGGGGGCAACAAATAGTTGTGTAGCGTCCCCTAAATCGTGGGGGAGAGTATGATTAAAATGTATAACCTTATAAGTTATAGGTATATACTATATTTCTTTGATTTGCGGAATAAAAATCCCCAGACTACAATGCTACATTGCTACTCACAATCACATGTAAATTATTGAACAAATATATTTTTAAATGCTAATTAGTGTAATTACTTATTGCTATCATTATTAATATTTAATTATAAATAAATACTTTATACTAATAATATTGTGTTTTACTGCAATATTATGTATAATTTGGTAAAATTAAATAACTGAAATCATTTTTTTTTTACATTAGTTGAGGTTATTTTCTATACAATTTTGATAATTTAAATACGATATAAGAATTAAGAACTTAAAATGTTATCTATTTTAGTGTACGGTGTAGTACTGTAGTGTGTAGGTTCCTACACCTTTGATAACTGATTTTTTTTTACTTTGAGTAGGTACACATTCATTGACTATTGTTTGATAATTATTTTTATTTTTATTTTATAATATATTAAATATTTCATCTGTATAAAGTACAAGTGTACAACTTACAACTAGTAAAAACTCTTCCTAATAATACTTTATTTACGTTATAGTCAAAATATTATAATAAACGTAGGTAATATTTTAAATTGTCAATCCTTATCTATAAAAATTTAACATTTTCTACTTTATAAGTAAATATTTGTAATTAAATATTAATATGTTGGTATAATTATACTAATTTGAGTTTAAAAAAATATTTGTTCGACAATGTGTGTGTGTTTGTGAGAAATATTGTAGTCTGTGGATTTTTTTTCACGTCACTTAATATGCACAATATGTACACCTTGCAGTCTTGCCCTGTCTTACGCAAATTGACAAAATCGCGACAATTTGTAAATTATTTTGAGTTGGAAATTCATAAAATATTATTCTTTTTATATCCAATCTTTAGCAGTCCAAACTATTTCGAATACTTTAAATTAAAGAACTCTACAAAAAACAAGCGACATGTTTTTATAGAACTAAAGCATTTAAAATAAAAAACAATACTCATAATCTTTGGAAAAAATATTTCGAAATTTCATTTACTAACCCCAAGAAAGCCTCTAATACATTCATTCAAGTTTGTCTAAGGTCATTAGTCATTACTCATTAGAGACCCAGATGAAATAAGAAAGTGTTCAAATTATTTACGTTATAATACAAACTAAATTATTGGTTTTATGATAATCTGTAATAATATTGTATAATTCAAAACTATTATTTATGAGAAGCTATGCTTAAAAACATTTATTAAACAGCTTACTTATTAAATATTCAATTACTAAATAATATTTTATATAATCATGATTGTTGTTATACTCTTAGTTATATTGTATTAATACTTAATAAATAAAATATAAAAATAAGAATACAATTTAAAACGAAAAAAAAATTCACAATTTTATATTCCTTCTTTATCAATATAAAATTGTGAATTTTTTTTTCGTTTTAAATTGTATTCTTATTTTTATATTTTATTTATTAAGTATTTATATAATAATATTTTCATGATAAAAATTACATCTAGGTAAGTAATATTGCTCTACGATAAGACCGATAAGAGGTAGGTATTACCTTAGTGTAGATCAAAGCTAGTAACTTAATATATTCATCTATTCATCCATATATAAGATTCCATAATTTAATACAAAATTCCTCATAATATATGTTTCTACCTTTGATAACAAAAAAAAAGTTTACAGGATAGTCTAGATTTTTATCAACTTAAATTTGTACGACATTGTTTATTTACCCTCGCGTAACTCAACGATTTCTTATCGAACGATATTCTTGTTTTGTTGTGATCCAAAAACGATAAACCAAATTTACTTGTAATTTCTGGAGTGAAATCAGGTGTAAAATCTTGCATTTTCTACACATAGTAAAAATTTAAAACATTTTTTCTCGTTTTCAGCTATTTAAAACATTTTTCATTTTCATTTCTAAAAATATCGATAAAAAATGTTCAATGGTTCAACAATTTTAAAATTCACACATCATAAGCTAGATTTTTGAATACATTATAGAAGTAAATAAAACATGTACATGTGGTAGTTATTAAAAGTTGGTTTGTGTTATTTTATTTATTTTTTAAAAAATATTTTTATTTAGGTATTCTTCAAGAAAATAATGGGCCCCACGGAACATGTTATAGTTCAGAATAATAAATAATACCATCAATAAGACGTCTCAGAAAAGTTAAATTATCTTCAAGCCTTCTGTTAGCTAACGTCTTGAGGACCAAGACGGTGCAAAACTAGGAAATAGGAATAGTCGTGGGATAGGTGATCAAGTTTTTATACAACAAAGGTCAAAAACTTTCGTTGAAAATGTTCAATTTGATTCATACCTCAAGAGTTATCACTTATCAGGATCCCACACAACGGGTCCATGTTCCTAAATTGACCTCGCAAAAGGCACAATGTAACTGCCAACTGCCAATATCTCAATAATGTAAACAATAATACGTGACATTCACTTTACAAGAGAGTTTTGTGCAAAGCAATGCTGGTAATCATTGGCAATAAGCCGTCTGACCACTTACTTAATCGGAAATGGTCTTTGGTGGTCGTCAACTATGAGAGATATGATTTTGCCAACGACATGTTAATAGTCTCACAACGTTGCTATACGGGGTTTATCAGTCTATGACCAGGAATAAATAGGTTTTGTCTTATCGCACGAAATTGCACATGGTTTATTCGTTTGCTTAATCATCTAGCTGTACATTTGAGTCGAGAACATGAATTACCTGAAATGCTTTTTGCTTTGGCTAATGCGATTTATGTAGTATTAATATCTTAGATAATATGTTCAGCTAGTATAGAAGAGTCGTGTTTTTATGAGGTATCAATTCCATAAGCTTTACAAGAAAATGTACTATAGTGTTACTATATATGTAGTATTTATAACCAATGTTAATACCCATGAATAATATTACTTATAATTAAATAACTACTAAAATATCAATATGGTTTGTCAGTCTTACAAAAAAATCCATGGGAGGGATACGACACCCAAATCCCCCCCCCTTGTAATTACGGAACTGACTATCGTGCGCCGTGTGGGTGCGACACTGCGACAAGTGCCCCCAACTCAGAGTAACAAAATTGTCAATTAATCTATAGGTCTCATGATCAACATGTGTCTGCGTCGCGCATTAAAAACAAATTTTGTTGAGCTTATTGGTCACTAGTCACAAGTCATTTAAAGTGGCGAAGTGCCGACTGGCGACTGCTCAGAACCTGTGCAGCGAGCACGTGCGTTGTTTCGAACTTCTCGGTTCTCCGACCGGCAACAATCAACATCGTTTTCACGCACAGAATATTAAAATCGAAATACTTCCTAACATTGCTTGTGAATTTCGTGAATGTAAGTATACATATTTGAGCGATAAGTATAATAATATGTTAAGTACATATTCTTATCATGAATACTTTCATAGTTTCATCATATTTTCATATTATTGTGATAACAAACATCCTATCATAATATTCTGATTTTCATTACCTATATTATCTCCTTATATACTTCAAATTTTTAATTTCGTTAAATTAGTAAAAAAATTTAAAAATTACATTAAAACCTATAACTCTTGTTATTTTATTTTTATCAACAATCGATATAAAACAGACGGTTTTTAAATACTGTACCACCTTGTTATTTTATATTTCATAGGTAATCGATGGGTATTTCTGTGCTATAAATCCTGATCGTAATTTAGGTACATAGGTATAATCCTATGAATTATGATAGCTTACATGGCCTTGTGGTCCATGAATATGTCTGATGCTTTGTATTTCTCATATTTAATTAACTAAAAGCACTGATTCAATGTTTCTTCAGTGGGAGGATTCATATATCTATGTAACATGTTTTTTTGAAACTATAACATACCTATGTGAAATAAAAAATTAATTTAAAGCAAGAGTAGACTGATAATATTTCTTAGCCCAGGAATTGTAAATCTAAGTGGCCCACGATAACCTGTTTTTTTTTTAATTTTTAGTAAAAAAAATGTTGTTCTGTTACACCAACAATTATTCTATACCACATCTAGTAACAAAAGTACCTAACAATACAGTACAGATTAAAAATTCATTAATTAATTAAAAACTTATAATTTCATAGTAAATGCAATGCGTAACATCTAATTGTCAAATAGTAAAATAATATTTTAATACGTCTATCCTACTTTAAGGTACCTGTGCTTTGGGAATAGGTGTTGTTAATTGTTAATTAAATATATGTAATTACTACCTATATTATGTATATTATGTATATTATGTACTTATATTAATAATATAAAAATGTCAACTATAAAACATAATTACATATAATATAATATACTAATATATTTTTTTTCTCTTTAGGATGAATAATAACAGTGTGTCCAGTATAAATAGATTTTCACTAATAACGTCCAACATTCCTGTTGATTTGGCATTTGATTTCATTACAAAAACTGATGTACAACAATGTTTAGAATACCTTACAGCATGGTACTGCAAAGTAGGCTGTATCCAATTATTTGACAATGATAAAATTTTAAGTTTGGATACAATACTATCTACAGATTCAATAAATAAAGTGATAGCGAAATTACCAATCGTAGATTGTGATGATTATAAACTTCAAAATGACATGGAAAATCAATTTAATAAAAAACTTAGAACATTGTGTAATTTCAATATAAGAAAGTTTTTAATCGATTTTAAATTACCAACCAGTTCTGCTAATTTAGCTAGAGTGGTATGTAAATATTCAAGTAAACCAATTGTGTTTAATTTAAATGTACCAGCATTAGAAAATGCTTGGGACTCTTGGAATACTTTTAGGAACATGACTGGTTATAGTTTACAAATTAGCATAGTTCTGTGCCTCACTAAATATGTGCCAACCAATGATGAGATAAAACGATGGGTTGGTGAACCCGTGTGTGCTTTATCTATTAGTACAAACCTTTTCAATTTAAACAAAAAAGGAAATCCAGTACTTAGTGAAGATCGTGAAGTTATTTTGAAAATAGCTATACAACAAAAATGGACAATAATTGTATCGGGTGAACCGCTACCAAATATGAGGGATTATTTTTATTACATAATATTTATAGCTAAGAACGTTCATATCCCAGATCCAATAATTGTGTGCGATGATCTTCTACAATTACCCTTGCAACCACTCAGAGACAATCTTATGTCTTGTGTGTATCATGTTTTTGAACAGGATCCAGTTAAATATACACAATACCAAAAGGCAGTACACTTGGCAATCATTGACAAAAAGGTAAAAAATATTGTTATAGCTGTTATTGGTGCCGGTCGAGGTCCTCTAGTTAAAGCTTGTTTGAGAGCTGCAGACCTAGCAGCTGTAAATGTTAAGGTATATGCAGTTGAAAAAAATGAAAATGCCATACCAACACTACTTATGTATCAAAAAAACATTTGGGGTAAATCTGTTGATGTGGTTTTCAGTGATGGGCGCGAATGGGACCCACCTGAGAAGTGTGATATAATGGTGTCTGAACTTCTGGGATCGTTTGGAGACAATGAATTGTCACCGGAATGCCTAGATGGAGCTCAGAAGTGTCTGAAAGATGATGGGATAAGTATACCTTGTGAATATTCATCCTATTTAAGGCCTGTAATGTCACATAAACTGTTTAGTCAGACTATAAGAAATGAAGCCATTGATGAATCATGCATATCAAAGTCGAAAGATGCTGCATTTGAACAGTCGTACATAGTTTTACAACCAAATAGCTATAAGCCAACCAAGACCAAAAAATTATTTTCATTTTATCACCCTAAAAAAACACTGGAAAGCAATGCTCGGTATAAATGCCTTAAATTTGAAATAACTTCCAACATGCAATTGCATGGTTTTAGTGGCTATTTTGATGCAGTTTTATACAAAAATATTATAATAAGTATAGAACCATTAACTGAGAGTTTTGGCATGTTCAGTTGGTTTCCTGTTTATTTTCCAATCAAAGACACAATGTTGGTTAAATCTGGTAATATTATATCTGTGCATTTTTGGAGGTGTTGCGATGAACATAAAGTGTGGTATGAATGGTGCGTATCTTCTCCAAACCAAACACCTATTTATAATTGCCAAGGGAAATCAAACTCTATAAGACTGTAATTTAGTAAATATTACATTTTTATTTTATTTGTACTATTTTTTTATTTTTGACTGATGTTGATCTTTTAAATGTTATAGTAAATTTTTCTATTTACTCATGTTGAATATGTAAAAAATTTAATTTATGTATTAGTTAATAGTTAATTTACCTGTTCAATCGATTTTGTACCATAGATATTAAATACACTTAATACAAATCAATATTTTAAACCTACATTTTTAATTCTTTATACAAATTAGATAAAACTCAAGTGACTTTGATGGCGCAATGATCACAAAAAGAGGACTAACTTAAAGTAATTTCTTATTGGGCACAATTGCTTTTTAGTTAGTTATTAAAAGTTACAACACTTATTAAATTTTCAAAAATATTATTCTTAGGCTTCAATGTTACTGGGTGACCATTATGTTGTGTACTTCTGTCGTTACAACATGTAAGTTAGATAAATTCCATGCTTTTGAAATAGTCCAACTCTTCGGCTACTGGGCCAACATCAGCATCCAGTAATGCCCATATTATATTATACGGTAGACTTTCGATCATTTCAAAAACTATATGAATCGATCATGGACGCTTGGTGTCCTAAGAAAATACCTATATTATTCATAGAAATTACACTTATTTTAGTTTTCCTGATAAATTCACAACAAGAATGTTCGAGACGGCGGGTGACACCACGTCATGCATAGGTACTACTACTCCATATTAATTTTAAAAATGTTTAAATCTTTGATGGAAAAAAAAATGTTGAAGACGAGTAGGTATTTATTTTTTACATACCTAACCTTAAACTTGACTCTTCAGCACATACCTTTCATGTGATAAGTAAAATCACGAATACCTATAACAAAGGAGTAAGTGGTCGAGATAAAGGATAAAAGAGGGAATCTTAGAACCCTGAGGAGGATACAGGGTAGTCGAGAGTTGGAGACTAGTGTGTAGACAGTGTCTGTTGTATACGTACATATTTTGTGGAACGTTTGTAATATTTTGCATCGCATTTGCACAGCACAGGTAGGTTATTATTTTTCCTTAAGTTAAAATATAATGTCATGTTAGATTTGGGTTTTTCTCGAGAGGTTTTTTATTTTTAAGAATGAGAGTATTGCGTTGTTAGACGAATAAATTGATAACCGACCTATTCATTTTTATAAAAAATCTTTTTTTTGCAATTCGGTACCTAATAATACCTATTTTGAAAATAACTTAAAATTAAAAATAATTTATTCCAAATTAGGTAGACACATTGCACATGTCTATTATAATAAGCTACCTAATTACTTACACTTATGACACTTATGTTTTTTTTTTAATGAGATGAACAAAGACTTAGGTGTTATTGCTTAACGTATTATCAGAACCGGAAATATATTCGTCCTTATACATTGATGTTAACCAGTTAAATCTTAAATAAAATTTTTACTTAAGTACCTATACTGTAATGCAAAAAAATAAATCGTTCAGTCGTGCAAGGACCTTAGCTCATACCATTCGTCCCGAGTATCTGTCGTACAGTCGTCGGTCCATGCTGTGACAACTTGAATCTGAGGCAAAACATAGACAAAAAATTGTATTATTAAGTTTATCCAGTATCTTCCTATAGGTATTTACTTTTTAGATACCTTTATAAATTCTGGGCTCCAGCCGCCGCCAAGTATTACTGTACATTTCTTATGTAGGCAAAATAATATATTAATAACGATAATTATTTTAAATTGTATAACTGCATTCTACCATTGGAATTAAATCGTTCAAAAAATGTACATCGATGAGCATATATTTTGGGGGATCGAAACCAAAATAGCCAATACAGTGTACTCTTGATTATCCGCTAAACATTCGAGGGTCTAACATTAAAGGTACATAACACAATATGTACAAACATATGTATTGATATTAAGCAAGCGTATTGTATGTTACGTGGTTATCGAGTAATCGGCTATCACGAATTATCATCCAATTAAAAACCTATAATGATTTATAATGTAAATATATATTTGTATATACATATAGCCATATAGGTATGACAGGTATGCAGATGATTTTGCGGAAGACGGTGGATAATCGAGAGTACACTGTATAAAATACAAAAGTATTAATTAATAAAGTATACTATATTTACCTATTATTTTCTTTTCTTTTTTTTGCATATATATGTATATAAATATTAGTAGTTGTGATTAAATATACCTGTTTTGTTAAATATTAAGAAACTGAGAGGTATATTATATTATAATATAGAGAGTACCTGTAAACAAATTATTTTGAAACCGGATTTTGGAAATTGGCATAAAATTATCTATAAAAAAAATTGAGCGTATGTATTCTTTAGATTTTTAGGATTGTCATGAGAAAATGTATGATGAATTTTGTAGAGAAAATTTTCGTCTTATAAATGTATGATGTAGGTATATAATGAACTTCTATTTTTTTACAAACTTGTAACTGTAATGCAAGGTTCCTATTTTGCATATTTCTTACAGCAATTAAAAAATACCTAAAATAGGTTTATTTTTATTACGTAATAAGCGTTGAAACTTTGTAAAAGATCATAAGAATTTTTAATTTTATCGCCAAGGTAATTAGCTTTAAAATATAATACATGATTTCTCATAAAATTTACTGGAAGTAAAAATAAAAAAAAGTATAAGACCCTTAATAACGTATTTATATGCGATTTTTTTTGGAGCGATTGAAAAGTACTTCATATACTTACCTGTACGGCTGTACCTACCTCAATTTATAGTGGATATTATATTATATATAGGCAGTATTTATAATTTTAATCTCGGAATTAATTAAATTAAGAAGTGTAAAAAATACATTTTGACGAAATTAGATTATTATATTTAACATGTTTTTTTATTAGTTCGAGCCATTAAAATATTATTCAAACGATAAGCGGCAATGATAATATTTATATTAATGTCAACATTGCTAAATAATTGAACCATTAATGCGCAGTGAATATTGAATTAGTAGGTAACTATATTCATCGCAATTCGCGATTAATATAATATGCCGCCTGTGACCCCTTGTTAAACGTGTATAAGGTAACGTTTAAGGTATACAGTGAAACTTCCGAAATATTTTTGAGCGCCAAACCAAATTTATTGAATTCTATTTAATGGATTTCTCCTGAGTACGATTTTTTTTTGTTGATCATGATTCATGATCGATTCCGTAATAACCAATACAGAAGTTTCATCGTAAAATATGCAACTCGTTGACCTTTGCCTATATATATATATAAACGAGTATAATATATTTATATACTCGTATATGTCAGATAAGAACGCGGAGTTCGTTCAGGTATAATAATATTATATTGCTTACTATATTGATGTTAGTACATGTGTTTATATAATTATATATTTATGTTTACCTTATTGGTCGCCACACATTGCAATTTGCAGCGGTGGCGATAAAATTATTTTGCCTTAAAATTGTGTTCGGCTTCATTTTGCCGTACCCGTCACAGCCACCATTACAATTGCAACGTGTGGGGATCTTTAATTTAACTTGAGTTCACTGATTTTTTATAAAGTTTATTAAAAAGGCATTAAATCTCTAGTCTTGCTCCTGCAGTCACCAGTGAAGCAGTGTCACAGTACACAATACGAATCTCTAATTACGATATGCGACGAGTGTTTTCGACGTTTGTCGTCGTCTCGGTGGCTGTCATTTCAGTGACGTTTGGCGATCTACTGCAATGCAAAGACCCGAATGGACAACCAATCGACTGGTCAGTAAATATTTATTAATTTTCAGAGTTTATTAACATTTGTCAAAAACAGGTTCACGGCTATCAAGCTACCTAACCTCGAGTCGAACTTGTCCGACGGGACGATTTACATCTATATGGACGCCAAGAACCCGGAGTGGACTTACTTGACCGGGATCACCACTGAGAAATCGGCTGTCGGACACACAGTGAGGCAGATGTACGCGCCCACCCAAGCATACAACGAAGTAATTTTCTCAACGATACAAAAAATTATAATTGCCTATTATATTATCATCTATATGACTACGTATATATTTTGTGAGTGCACTAGAGTAGGCACTAGGCAATACAAACATAGAGCTTAAAAACAAGTTATATCACAAAATCCAAATTTCAGTGACATGAACTATACGCCCTCCTCCCGTCCATCATCCTAGTAGTGAGCAAACCTCTAGTTAGCTAATAGTTTTAATTGGAATCTGAGTTAGAAAAACACCGCTTATAATAATTGTTTGTTTCTGTAAATTGTAACTGCAACAACAATTGCAGACTGATACCTCCATCGACGTTGCAAACGAAGCTTCTACATAGAATTCCTTAAAATGTCCAATATTTATTCAATGACATTCGTAATAAGTAATATAACCATATACTTTATAGCAGGTACCTACTATATCTACAAGACAAGCAATGCGTATATAGAGGACGCTTTTTGATTACCTACACGATTACCTGTACGCGTGGTAGTAGGGTAAGCCAGATAGATTTTGTTACGGACAAAAGTCGAAATCGGACAAAACTCAGAAATCCCCGGGCAAAACGCGAACTGCCCATAATCCTTGGGCAAAATGTCATATTTCGGCTTTTGACCGGGCAACCTAGTTATGACCAACCTCATTTGGGCAAAACCGTATATTATAGACTTTTATATCGTAAGAGCAAAAACGAAGTGTCTTAAATACGTTCGCTAATATTAAATACAAATAATCATAAAATAAATACTATTGTACAAAATATGTAATTCAATACACTTCAGTAATGAGACAAATATAATAATATTAAATATTAAGTACCTACCAGGCAGGTACGTACACAAAACAATTTTTTTTTGGGGGAGGGGGGGTCATAAACAAATTTTCAGCGACCAGTTATTGTAGTTATCGATGATTGATTTAAATAAATTACACAACCATTAATGTATACGTGCCTGATACCTATTCGTACAAAAATAAACAAATTATAATATTGGGTACTCCTATAATGTTAAAATAATATTAATTACTCTAATAATGTTAAAATAAATAATTTAAAAAAATTAATACATTTAAACCTCATTTGGACAAAACCGTAGCGTCTTAAATAACTTCACTAATGTTAAATACAAATAAAAAATTATCATAATTCATAAAATATTGTGAAAATATAATTGTATACACATAAATAATAATAAAAAAATAATATTTTTGTTTATTTGTTGCTACACATATTAGACTCATTTAGAACTACACAAAATATTTTGTTGCTCACTTTTACATTTTCTCGTCGTGGTGGTGCACTTAGTTTTGCATGAATACAAAATAAATCCTTGTCCTGAAGTTAATGAATTTTGTATACTAGCAGTCCTCAATAGTATTTCGATATTCGGTACATCATCGCTAGTAATTAATTGTTCCTTGCACTGAAATATTAGGTTTCTGGCATATAGTGATGACAAAATTCCATTTTTGGTTCCTATTTTATAGAATCTATCGTCAGTAATACTTATTATAACACCTAAGTACCTAACACATAATTTGCACCGACTTTTCCACTATCAAGTATCAACACAAGGCACTGGAATTTCTACTGTCGTTTCGACTGTTAGAGTTGGAAATTGAGAGTCGATAAATTGACAAGATACGTGTGGTAATTTATAATCATAATAAAATCGTACGATAAAAATCACTATTTGTATTTAATATTAGCGAACGTATTTAAGACAATATGGTTTTGCCCTTACGATAAAAGTCAGTGTACGGTTTGGCCCAAATGAGGCTGGTCATAACTAGGTTTGCCCGATCAAAAACCGAATTATGACATTTTTCCCAAGGATTGTGGGCAGTTCGCGTTTTTCCCGGGCATTTCTGAGTTTTGCCCTATATCGACTTTTGCTCTTAACATAAATAGACATATAGTCATATAGATAATATTGTATTTTTTCGCCAAGACAACCTACATCACTCCTGTTACGCCGCTCGTAATGCTATTGTTAAACACGGTTCTTGTCTAGTATACCTAGTATAATGTCTATCGTCTATGGTATCAACTAAAAATGCTTAATGTTTTATTTGTTTAAGCATTTTAAATATAATTTTGGAAGACTGTAAAGTGCGTATTGCGTGGTCGCGTGCATCTATAATATTTTAGCATTTTACAATTTCCAAACGATTTCTATAGGGATTACTCAATTTGGCTCCACTGCTGTAATGTTCGTATGAAGACTTTTACTGCCTACTCAAGAGTTTGCAGACAATATTATACTTCCGTCTGAGGTCAGGTTTGATGAGAAAATTAAGTCGAGAGTCGATAATACTCGTCGCCCAATTAATTTTATTACAATCGAATTTTATAAAATACAACTCTGAAGAACTGTAAATACTTGTGATCTGAAACAGTGATAGGTATACCTAACCCGTATATTTTTCAGTCGATAATGTGGGCCGTGTACAACGATGAACCGACAAACGGTCCAGTGACGTTCTCGTTGGGCCATTCCAAAGGAATGGTAGTGGCCAACAACTGTTCGGGCTTATGGCTGGTGCACAGCGTGCCCAAATTTCCGCAGTTACCTTACCAGAACAACAACTCGTACACGTACCCCAAGACTGGAGTGCTATACGGCCAAAGTTTTCTGTGCATGTCCATGACACCTGAGGAACTGGACAAGGTAGGTGAGTATTTATACACATTTTTATCATAATATGTACATATAAATATTGGAATTATAATATTTGGACTGTAGCTGAGTTTTATTAATCAATGTATCGACTTTTCAGGCGATCAGATAATCAACAACGAGGTGCAGGTGTACGGCAGTCACTTTGGAGGCGATATGAAATCGACGTATCCGGGTCTCTACAACGCCACTCTGCTGCATGATATTCCCGGGGTGAAAAACGATGGAGTGAGGTTACAGCCTCTTTACTCTATTGAGGGCTTTGAGTTCTTGTCCATTTCAAAGAACAGGCACTTTGGAAAAGGTACTTTCTCAACTATTTTGTTAGTTTTTTCTACCCAAATTACTAACTAAATGCAATTTTCCAATATAAACCCGTAAACGCACCCACGAAGTTGAAAATCGAAGCATTTTTACTATTCTATATTTCTTTTTTACACTATCATAATTCATAGTTGTACAACCAAATTTGTACCGCTCTACTGAGAGTCTAAAAACCCATTTAACATTAAACACAAAGTCTATGGAATATAATCTGTTTTAAAAACGAACTTACCTAACTGAATTCGACTATGAAAATGAAAAATGTTACGAATATAGTATAGTGATATACCAATGCCCATATTTATAAACTATATGTCTATATACTTACGTACCTATGTATAGCAGCCTACCGTGGATGACTTCCCGTGTATTTAACTTATTATTGTTATATAACCTGTTGATTTTATCACACCAGTACACAAATAGACATCTGTTATGTTATATACAACTGTAGATTTATATGAAGACTTAATCACACACTTGACACAGTCAAATGTATACACAGAGACTTGGTTAAATTCGAAGGATAGGTTGAATTCGTCATGTTCTAGCAAGTACAAGTAAGTTGAGATAGAAATACACTGAACGGATTGTCAGCTTCGTTTTGCTAAATAATTATGGTTTTAAGGACCATGAACATAAAGTCGTTGGCCATGAAGAACATAAAGGGGTTGGAAAACGTACGGTACAAGTCGTCAAAAGACCATTCCAAATGGGTTGTAACTGGAAAAAGTTCGGTACATTGGACTTGCGTTGGCGACATCAATCGAGCTGTATGCTTACATTAAAAATAATACAGTATAAAAAATATTAATATTATTTAACACGAAAATGTTAATGATTTTTAGGAAAAACAGACAAAACGTGGAGGTGGAACAGTATGCATAAAATCATTGCCAGTATGGAATCAATATAAACAACTAGTGTCAGATATTCAAAAGTGTAAAATTTAGTACTATAATTATTAATTATGTGTCTCTTGCTAGAGTACCTATCATTATTATTGTTTAATATTTAAGTGCCATATATTTAATTTTAAGAACTCGTTTAAAGAATATTCGCTAAACACAGATAAATATTTTGACTTATAATTTATGACATGATGAGTTTTACCTATAACATATTATAAGTATTATATATTATTATTTTATCGTACCTATACAGCTCTATAAGTATGTCATGAATAAACAAATAATAGGTAAGTGTTCATTTTGTAATTACATTTAAAAATGTATAAATGTATTAAAAATTACGAGTCAAAGTTCTTTGTAATAAACTTATCGCATAAACTTAGTTGTTTATGTTTAGGACAGATTTAGTTTCAGAGGGTGTTAAGATAAGTATATAAATTAAATTATGGTCTTAGAGCCCAGAGGGTAGAGACTAGACAGTAGTGTACATAAAATATATCTGAACCGTTTTATCATTGAGGGCCTATGCATGTGTATTTAATAAGGGGCAATATTTTGGCAATATGCAATTTTGTCACCTCCGTTCTTGGAATTTGAGTTAAACGTAAATAACAACTAATGTAAATGTGGTTGTACTCGGGTACAGGGCTAAAATATTTAAATTAAAGTATTAAACAACTTGAACTAAAAAAGGAGCAGCAATTCATATTGAGCCAATCAGAGACAAGTGGTTCTGGGTACACCCATTAAATTTGCAAGACACCCTATCGGGCTATCCACCCCACCCGCTGCAGTGCTCACATTTCAATGGCACCGCTAACCCAATGCAAAGTGTGGATTCTTGCCTAAAACACGTTTTAGAAGAAAAACTCTCAAGCCTCGTAGTGGTCTGAATTCATTAATTTTTTTTATTAGAAAAAAGATTATTTTCTACAGAACGCATAATTGAACCACGATTTTTGATCTTATTCCTTAAGAGTTCGGGGCGCCACACTGGCATTTGTTGTTCCCGTCTTACAAACGTACGACATGGCAATTTTTACCTTTACAATAATACAAATTACTCTGTTATTTCTAAAATTTAGAGTGAACTTACTTCTTATAAAATTTGAAGGCAATGATATTATCTAGGGTATCTTGGAGGATTTTGTTGATATTATTATCTTTAAGTAAGTTACAACTTTATAAGCCATAATTTACTTCAATTACTTATGACAATTTTCACGCTGTAAATTTAAAATGTATTTATGTTTATTTATTTATTGGTTTAAATTTATTTATAAAATACCTATAATAGTTACCATTTAGTGGTTATTATTTTTAAATCTAAATCTTTTTGGACGACCTGAGATATACCCATATTTAGTCGAGTATTTATAATATTATATTTATAGTGAGTAATAACAGAAAGAGTCAATAGGTTATTCATGATATAACAAATATATAGGTACAAGGTGTAGACTTTTAATTTTTTCTAACATATCTAGGTATTTTCATGCAAATACATAAATCAATTCTTTCAAATAGCTTACAATTTTAATTTGTGAACCTTCATATGCAAGATAAGAACGCTGATGGCGTGATGGATATAATATTGTTATTAAAATACAATTTTATACTGCTACAAATTATAATAGTACCTACCAACTTATATTATTCTGATGTGCAATAAAGGTTGTTCATAAACGTGGTGGTTTTGTAAAACTAAAAAAAAGAAAATCGCGATTGTCACTGCTGCAGCCGTTACTTTTATGTCACAATAATAAGTGTGTATTGTTACTAGTAAGAAATGGGACGAGCGTTTTTGACATTTATCGTCGTCTATGTGACAGTCATTGTAGTGGCTTTTGGCGATCGGCTGCAATGTAAAGACCCCAATGGAAACCCGGTTGATTGGTAAGTATCAACGATCACGTTATTGTACCGGCTATTTTTATGATTATAATAATTAATAGGTGTAGCGTATGAAATAAATATTCCGCATTTGTTGATCGTTGAGGACAAATGTACCTGATCTGTTGACCTTAGGATGGTGGGAGTGAATTATGAGAGTGGATCAAATTTACAAATTTCACGTGAATAAAATAAAAATTATTGTCTATAAATAATTAAAAATAAAAATAAAAATTGCAATAATATATTTTGGTAATAGGTATGTGTGTTTATTATACATAGAAAACCTTCTATATCTAGTAAATATAGTCAAAATGTCTATTAAGTTCGTTAGGTATTTATTACCAATTACCATGTTAGTCTGTACAACATCGTCATGAGCGAATTTAGATACCTAAAAAAAATTCATTTCCCTGACAAAAATGTACACGAGTAGCACAGCGTACCTATCACATAACGCTATGAGAGTAAGCCAAATTCTATCTGGAGAATTTAACCTTAAACGCCTTAAACTTGTTCGAAACAAAGTGATGTGCTCTCACCGTTATTATTTGATATAGCAATGGAAAAATTTAATACGTAATTACGTACTTATAGTGTTCAATAAACAACAACTTGGGGGGGGGGGGCAAATATATAGGTGCCAGACAAATTAGTGTTCTGGGCTTTACAGATCATACAAACTATGTTTGACCACAGTTCCGCATACAGAAATTCAGAAATATTAGTTTACACTATACAATACAAGAACAACAATAATAGAGAAGGGAAAATAAACCTAAAGTAATTATGGAACTACTCCTAGATGAAGAAAAATGTATGGAAATTGAAGATTATGTTTTTGAAAAAGTTAAGCAGTTCATTAACCTAGGGGCTAGGATTGACTATTACTAGCACAAATGACTGGCCTATAGGCTATAGCCTAGAAGTTATGAGTTGTAGGTATATATAGTCGTAGTATTGGTGCTACTAAACATGGCACAATGGTTAGTCACGTTAGCAGAAAAGTTTCAGGACATAAATCTGCAAATGGCGACCAACGGGAAATCGAACAAGAAAGAGACTGATAAAAAGATTTAGAAATGCTGTAAGTGACGAATTGGGATTGAGAAGATAGAATCCTGTTATATTCATGCAGGGTCGGGGCGATTGGAAAACACAAGACACAGAGACGGAGAAGTGGTGCCGGCCAAAATTAGTACATAATGAATTGTAAAGCTAAAAAATAATAGAAGATTTATCATAGTATCATTATTTTATTAATTCATTTAATATAAAATTGCATTTAAACATTTATTATAACTTTTTAAAATTAGGTTCACGGCTATCAAGCTGCCAGATCTCAAGTCACATTTCTCAGACGGGACTGTGTACATCTATATGGATGCCAGAAACCAAGAGTGGATCTACTCGTCCGGGATCACGACCGAGGAATCGGCTGTCGGACACACAGTGGCGCAGATGTATGCGCCCACCCAAGCTTACAACGAGGTAATTTTCAAAACGATATAATTATCATACTGTCATCAATTTATTTACAATTTAGTGTGTTCATATTATGTTCATTGACATCATTTCAGTTTCTGTTCAGTTTCTGTTTTCAAAAGTTTTGATCACCCCAAATGGTAACTTAAAAAAATACACCTACCTAGAACAAATATATTCCAACTATTAACATTATTAATATCAATTTATCATTGTGAGTATTGGGACAATAATTTCTTAGTAGGTACACAATAGGTTTTTCAAAACATTACATGAATAAGCATGTTTTTGTGATAATAATATAATATACCTACCTAATGGTTGGACGGAAATAACAGGTCACCAGCCCATTTTGCTGCTTTTCAAATCAGACATGTACAAATGCCCAACTTACCGCCCCTCCCCCCAAAAATGGTGCTACTTCATATGTTAGACAACAAGAACATACAAGAACTTTTTGAAAACGAGTTTTAAGTCTGCATACACATACTTTTGACTTTCAAATCCCAAGGAGTTACTGCAGTAACTTGTTATCTGGATTCTGCGCTAGAAAAATATACTTAGTTTATTGAATCACCATCAATTACTAAGTAGGTACACATTATACAATGATAGATATTTTGATGAGGCTGTCCCAAAAGCAAGCTTATGAAAGGGAGCAGGGAGTTTACAAAACAGTTGCACAATATGAATTAAAACATAATTTAAAACCATACTAGAAAATACTTGCAATCCAAAAATTAAATAATAAATATTAACTAAATGTCAAGTTCAGTGTGCCCAATGTAAATTGAAACTTAATTTATAAAATATTTAAATCTAAATTATTAACATGGTTTAAAAATAGTACCCACTCTTTTTCAAGGGACGAGGTGCATGGATCTACAATGTTTTAATACTTTAACCCAAATTCTCGAACCGTTTTTAACATAAAATTGTTCGCTTTGGGCTCGTTGTTTACAGTAGATTTGTACTTTACGTGATAACTTTTACATCGAGACACTCAACAGTTTCACAGTTAATATTAATATACGCGATTTTGAGTTCAGATTTTGATACCACCTGACAATCTTTTTTATTTTATCCATGTACTTCGAATTTTATAAAATACCAGAATTCGTCACATATATGAGACATGAAACTAAGTAGTTATATAGAATACATAACACTCCTAATTTCTTCAGTCGATAATGTGGGCCGTGTACAACGATTCACCGACAAACAGTCCAGTGACGTTCTCGTTGGGCCATTCCAAAGGAATGGTAGTGGCCAACAACCGTTCGGGCTTATGGCTGGTGCACAGCGTGCCCAAATTTCCGCAGTTACCTTACCAGAACAACAACTCGTACACGTACCCCAAGACTGGAGTGCTATACGGCCAAAGTTTTCTGTGCATGTCCATGACACCTGAGGAACTGGACAAGGTAGGTGAGTATTTATACACATTTTTATCATAATATGTACATATAAATATTGGAATTATAATATTTGGACGGTAGCTGAGTTTTATTAATCAATGTATCGACTTTTCAGGCGATCAGATAATCAACAACGAGGTGCAGGTGTACGGCAGTCACTTTGGAGGCGATATGAAATCGACGTATCCGGGTCTCTACAACGCCACTCTGCTGCATGATATTCCCGGGGTGAAAAACGATGGAGTGAGGTTACAGCCTCTTTACTCTATTGAGGGCTTTGAGTTCTTGTCCATTTCAAAGAACAGGCACTTTGGAAAAGGTACATTATATGTATATATTATATATACATATATATTATGTTGAGTATAGACCACCTATTTTGTGGGTTTCAACTTTATTAATTTTATACAGAGTAAAGATACAAATAATAACAATAATAAAAAATAAAAAGTTATAGAAAACATAAGATTTACCATAAACATATACTCATTTAACAAATTGAACTGAATGCAAGTATGACAACATTTATGTTCTAAATTATAAAGTATTGGAATGCCCAAGAAGTGAACAGAAGTTAATGATATTTAAAGTATTGAACTTATTCTTAATATAATAATATAATCTGATGATTACATCACAGAACAGATTAATGTAAAAAATTATATATAATTTTAGATTTGTATAAAGACTTAATCATACATATGGCACAGTCAAACATTTATACTGAGACTTGGTTGAATAACAGAGGTTGGTTCAATTCGTCATGTTGCGGTCAGTACAAGTGGGTTGAGGTAGAAATAAATTGAGCATATTTTTTAAATTAAAAATAATGTTTTTAAGGGCGATGAACATTAAATTGTTGACAATGAAGGACATAAAAGGGTTGAAAAACGTATGGTACAATTCATCTTTAGACCATTCCAAGTGGGCTGTGACTGAGAATGCCGGCAATAGTTCTAAACATTGGACTTGCATTGGCGATATCAATCGAAGTGTATGCTTATTGGAAATATTGTACTAAAAAAAATAATAATACATCAATATTATTTAACATGAAAATGTTCATGGTTTTTAGGAAGAACAGACAAAACGTGGAGGGGGAACAGTATGCATAAAATCAATACCAGTATGGAATCAATATCAACAACTAGTGTTAGATATTGAAAAGTGTAAACTATAGTTCTACAATGTGATTCTCACCTGAGTACAACTGTTGCTTAATATTCCACTGTAATGCATTTAGTTTTTAAGTATTCATTCAAAGCTTCTTCGCCTAATGCAGACAGTTATGAGTATAAAATGTATTTAATAAAAAAATAAACAAAATCTTAAAGAAATCACTGTACCTAAATCCTTGCCAAATCCAGACTTTTTGAAACCACCAAAAGGCGCGGCAACATCAGTTTTATTATAAGTGTTTATAAACACAGTTCCAGCATCAATTTTTTCTGCAAATCTCAATGCCTTGCTTATGTCTTTTGTAAATATGCCAGAAGATAGACCATAATCAGTTGAGTTTGCTCGCTTGATGACTGCGTCCAGGTCACTAATGTAAGAGTTGATAAAATATATTTAGTTTGAATTCTCATAATTATATAATATAGTTCTAAAAGTACATAACAATTATTTATTTATACCTGCTACTAAATTTACTGACAGCCATAATGGGCCCAAATGCTTCTTCTTGGGCAATAAACATATGATCTTCAACTCCCGTGAACACAGTTGGCTCAAAATAGTATCCTGGTCGATCCAGACGTTTTCCTCCAATCTTCAATTCAGCTCCTTCATTCTTTGCTTTCTTACAATAGTTAATTAATTTTTCCAAATGGGCTTTATGATTTTGAGGCCCGTGATGAGTATCACGTTCTAACGGGTTTCCAATTTTCTAATATAGAATAAAAAACAATTAAATTATAATCATTTACTACTACTCAATATTTAATGAATTGCAATAAAATAACCGAATCTAATTTTGATTTTAAAATAAAACCGGCAGAAAATATACATGCAAATATTTTTATAGTATTTTCTTGTACTAGAAGCTTCTAAGAAAATTAATTATAAACTGCAAAAAACTAACAAGACTCTATTCAAAATTTGGAGGAACTCACATAAGTTTTTTTTAAAGACAACATTTCTGTACTTTTTTAGTAAAATATAGTATAGACTGCTTTTAATATAGTAAAATTTTGATAAAATTTTGAGATTTTTCTATTTGAAAAAAATTGAGTCAATATTTTTTTATATATGTGGGGGTATTAATTTTTTAATTTCTTTTTAATTTACCTACCTTCTCAGAAAAAATAATAACCAAGTGTCCTGCTTTCAATAAACTTTAGAGTACTTTACAATCAGTTTAATACTTGTCTGATTTACTTACAATTTTTTTTACTTCTTCAACAACTTTGCCGACAAATTTGTCGTGTATGCTTGATTCAACAAAAACTCTACCAGCAGCTATACAATTTTCTCCTTTGTTAAAGAACACTCCTCCCATGCTCTAGTAACATCAAAAGTCAAATGTTTACAAAATGGCTCAAATGGTATTGGACAAACATAGAAACACACCATTCTAACAGACTTGTCTAAGTCACAGTCGTCGAGTATAATGAGAGGGGATTTTCCACCAAGTTCTAAAGATACTTTTTTGAGATTTGATTCTGCCGAAGCTTTCATGATTGCGTGACCGGTTACTGTACTGCCCGTGAATCCCACTTTTCTGATGTCTGGATGTTCAGCTATTGCTCTACCAGCCTCAGAACCTAGTACACCACAAGTGTTAGAATATTGTAAATACAATAACCAAATTATTCACTAAAATCTACTGCAATAATACCAAGTCCAGGAAGAATGTTTATAACGCCAGCTGGAAAACCAGCTTCTACAGAGAGTTCAGCAAACTTCAGTGCAGTGAGGGGTGACACTTCTGTTGGTTTCATTACCACTGTATTACCCGCCGCTAAACATGCCGCCATCTTCCAGGACAACATCATCAACGGATAATTCCATGGTGTTATAATACCACAAACACTATTTTTAAATAATACTTAATTATATAATGTTGTATAAATTTAAAGTTGTCAGTATAAATCAGCCTACCCGAATGGCTCTTTTTTTGTGAATGTCAAATTTCTGTTGGGTCTAGCATGTGATATTGGGATTGTTTGTCCGTGTATCTTATCTGCCCAACCAGCAAAGTATTTCCAAACATCAATAGACATGCCAATATGAGTTTTCAAGGCTAATGTGTACACTGCACCAGAATCAATGGACTCTATTGTCGCTAATTCTTCTCTATTTTTATCTAATAAATCTGCTATTTTATACAAAACAGCTCCACGGTCCCTAGGACTCATTTCAGACCATTCTCCTTCAAATGCTCTACTTGCCGCAATTACTGCTTGATCTACATCAGTTTCAGATGCACATTGAATCTAAAATCATACAAGATTTCAACAAGTTAAACCCAATAAACTTCTTGGCAATTCGTAATATAAAATATAACATTAGAAAGTAAAATACATAAAAAAAAAAAGGAAAAAGTTTTCAATACTTATAGATAACATTTTGGAGTAAGTCTTACCGAACAAATAACAGATTCGTCAGCAGGATTGATGCATTCTAAGGTCTTTCCAGACTCAGAGTCTACAAACTGTCCATTGATGAATAATTGTTTTGCAAACTGTAATTTCATATTGTTGACTTCAACCACAACTGGATCATATTCTACACGAATATTGTCATCGGTTGAACCTCTTGACCTCTTAACCAAAGTGTTACAGAAATCGGAGAAAACAGGAGACATGTATACATCATCATTCTTCAAAGTCAATTTCATTTTATCCTTGATCTCTTCAATTAACCTACATTATTTTTTCATAAAAACTGAGTAATTATGAACTAGTTATCTCTCAAAATTAAAACTTAATTTAATTTATTACCTTACAACATCCATAGAACCTGCACCAGATTGAAAGAAATGAGTATCCTTTCCAATCTCCATATTTAGGATATTTTTCCAAATGGATTCTACTACAGGAATATATGCTTTCTCTTGATCTGTATAGTCGATAGTTTCTTGGACAGTGTCTGCATTACCATAATTTGATGCAGCCATCATTTTGCCATCCACAGACAACCTCTCAATGTTTATCTAAGAGGAAAAATTAAAGACATTTCATTCGGTATATAATTTAAATGTATTGGAGGAAAAACAAATTTAATGCCTAATAAATAATATCATAATATTTAGTATATACTTTTAGACCATCATTGCAAGTAATCAATAAACCATTTTTATGAACAATAGCTGGGAATTGAATCGTATCAACAGTCACATGGTTACCAGTAGGTGTTTCATTTGTCCAAATAGACGATTTGTATAATTTTACTTCTGTTTCATCTATGATAGTCCAAGCACCTGGAGAACTGTCCAGCCCTCTAATGAAGTTATGAATCTCTACTCCACTTCTGGACCAATCTACCTAAAATAAAACACTAAACATGTCAATAAATCCAATGAAGTTATAAATTGTATGAGGTACTTACTTTTTGTAAAGCCTTTTTTCTTACAGATGGTTCGAAAGAAGACCCTTCTGTAGACTGGGGTATAACTGGAGCTGTACCATTAGCTACCATATCAACAGCTTCAGCCTAAGTAATTTATAACATTAATTTTGTCAAATGTTTATAATTGTATACAATATGTCCAATGAAGAACTGTCCAATCGACATCATATGATAGTAGTATATCTTAAGTTACAAAAAAATCTCTTAAAGGAAGTTATCTTTCATAACTTAAGGTATGTATACTGTCATATAACGTTGGTCAGTCTTCATGGGGAACATTGTATACCTACATTTATAAATTATTATTTGATCGTGTCACAAAAAACTATAAATGTTTTTTTTTCATTTTAATTAATGGATATAAAGTATGATCATTTCATTGTTATTATTGTTTGGACTAATTCAAATACTAGAAAAATCATAGTAATTTTTTTTTTAAATAGAATTATAATTACCATACTTTTGATTCCTTCAGGATATAAAAAACGATTATACAAAGAATCAACAGTATCATTTGGTAAGACTGGGCATGATTTTTGAGACAGTATTGGACCAGTATCAAGTCCGTCATCAGCCCAAAATATAGAAAAACCTGCTTCTTTGTCTCCATTCATCAATGTCCTACAATAACACATATTTAATTATAAATAAATAATGCAACTCATTATATTATTATCTTACCAATTTATGGCGCTAACTCCTCTATGTTTAGGCAAAATTGAAGGATGGTAACATATACTTTTATGTTTTGGGTGTTCAATGACCTCCATAGGGATAAACTGTGAACAGAACGGTAGCACATTGAGTTCAGCATCAACTTGTTTGTACTGAGCTACAATTTCAGGTAATGCATTTTCACCTTTACGCCATGATTTGATTTTAAACACTGGAGTATTGTTTTCTGAAGCAACAGCCGCTAATTAGAAAAAAACAGAAAACAATAATAAACAATTATGTGTGAAATTAAAATAACTACATATATATATTTTTTGATCTATTAACAACAGTATTTGTTTAACAATAGAACTATAAAAATAAAATCAATTAATACAGGGCAACTATAACAATCATACCTACATAATTTTGTGTTAACTACCTATCATAGGCGTGTTCAGATTTCGGTGGTCGAGGGGGCACAACAAATTTTTTAATTGTAGGGCCTATTTTTTTTTAGACATGAAGAAACACTTATTTTTTATGTTACAAATCTCACAATGGTAGGAATATTTTTAAATTATGATCAAAAAGTACAACCATTGTCAAAACAATACCAATATATTTAAAACTAAATTAAAAGATACATAATAAAGAAAAATGTATCCAGGCATAATTTTGTTGGTGGCACAGTCTGCCGGGGGGGGGGGGGCAGTACCCACCAGGCCTTTCTTGTAAACACGCCTATGTTACCTATAATGGCATAATTTATAAGTTATGGTATTAGTCAGAGCAAGTCAGTATTATATGCACTTTTTGATTTATTTATTTTAAGGCGATCCTAGAGGTACAAAGCTTATTTTTAACAACAACAAAATATATGAATAAAGTTAAATATTTAATCACATTTAGCCATTTAGGACCGTTAGCCACTTCAAAGTTATGCTGAATTGACAGAATTTGTTATAATGCTATAACAATCATGACCGTCAATGTGTTAAC